ACCTGACTGCTGTGATTGTGGTGGGGAGAGGAGCAGAGATTGGGCTCACCTATTCCACTGAAATCTGATGTGTGAGATTCTTACCCTAACAGGAAACTTTCAGATGTAGCTGTTTGATCGAAGCCTAGGTGGCGAATCAGCTGGAGCCCCTGTGTTTGGACTTGGAGCTGACTGATTCGTCCTGGGAATCATCTGGTCATTCAGCAGACATTGACCAAGTACTTACTATGTAGGCATATTATGTTCCAATAAAAGATACAGTGTTGAATCGGGCGTGATGCTTACAGTCTATTGAAATACCAGCATCCACACAGTTTAGCTGCAATCCAGGGCAGACGATGAGTTGTATAAGATACGTGCTAAATGTCTACTTCTTTTGAAAAGCAGATCGTTTAAACAGAAGAGTAAAACTTCTCATTCTAGCATCAAATCCTGCTAGATGTGCCAACCTCCTCCTAAAGGCTTAACTCCCATTTAGAACTTACGTTTTAGTCACCTAGAAATCATTTCTCCCTATTTAAGTCATATTAGCCACTCACAGTCTGGCTCAAGCCAAATCTCCTCCAGAAAGCTCTCCTGGCTTTACTGTTTCATTTGGTGCTGCCCTGTTAGTCTTCTCATCCCCTCCCATCCTGCCATGCTAACACTGCATGTCAACCCTGGATTTGATCTTGTTCTCTGAGCGTCTGCATCCTGCAGCACACGTGAGCGCCTTTTCCTGTGTTGCTCAGCAGGGTGCCCTGCAGAAGGCGGGCAGTCAGTAAATAGCAGTTGAACTGACTTGCAGAGCTCAAGCTGCTCTGCACTCGCATCTTTTTAGATCCCTGTTCTGGTCTTTGAAAGACGATTTTAAGTACCTTCATTTAATACTGTGATCTTACAATGGAAACAAAATTGATATTGTTTACTTTAGTAACTGCTGGTTTTTGAAGATAACTGAGCTCCTCTGAGCGCTTTTAACAATCGCTTGAATTCATTGTTCACATTCTCCTATCCTTTCCAGGATAAATAAGCACTTCTGAAGTTCAGGTTTTCGATTTCCTGGTGCTCTGCAGTCAGTGTGACAGACATTTATTGAGTTCCTGCTATATGCAAGGACTATAATAAGAAAGTAATGGAGGCAAAAGAGGTGGTGATCTGGAGAGGGAGGAGAAGCCCTTCCTTAGATAACATGCAAATGAAAATTTTTATGGTCCTGTAGATACTCTGTTAACACTGGTATCACAGTACTAATTCTAAAAAAGTGCACTAAATGCTGTGTTGCTGATGGTAAGCTGTTGGTTGTAAAGAGAGCAACTGGTGATGTTTGGTGTGGGAGCCCGTGAGCCCAGCTTCCGCTGGCAGGCGACTCCTCCATCCCACCCGTGTTATAGAATGAGCCTTGTCTCGCTCAGGGATGTATAACTAGTATTGTCTGGAGTTTATTGAGTGTTGCTATGTGCTAGTTCGTGTTCTTAATCCTCAAGCCCTAAGAAGTAAGCATTCTTATCTCCATGTCATAGGTGAGGAACAAGTTTAGAGAGGCTAAGCCTTGTCCGGAGTCATACCAAGTAAGTGAGGGTGCTGGGATTTGGACATAGACCTCCCTAACTCAGACTGCTCTAACCATTCTACTTCCAAATGTGGTATACCCAGATCTAAAGCTTACTTTTCTCATTCCTAGTTCAGTGCTGTTGGATAGTTTTTAAGCTATTACACGCCTGTGTCAGTCTCACTTGCCTCTTCCCCATCCTTCCTTTAGTTAAGAAGGCTTCGTGGGTTTTCCTTGCTGTGTCCGGCAAACGCTGTTTGCATTGATGTCTATGTTGTCTGGTTTCTCTTCTTGCAGCTTCCTTTCTCTGAAGGCTTAACTGTGTGTTGTATTTTCTGGAAGTCTTGCCTAAGGAACTGAACCAACTCTGGCACTCCCGTGGCTGTCTCTGGGTTAGAGATGCTTCTGGAGCCAAAAGCAGCAGCTACATCCCTCTTCTGAAAGATTGCATTTGGTCAGGCTCGAGAAGCTGAGATTTTATTCTCATGTCATACACGTCTTTGCTCACAAGTCATTTCAGTGCATATAAATGGTGCTATGCTGAATCACCATTTCTCTCATCCCCAGTCTGTCATTTCAATTGATGAGAGTTCTGTTATACTAATATTTCACCCTCACTGAGGATAAAATTATATTTTACATTTTAATCCATGTTTACTAAATCGTTCAGTCTTTTTAAAAACATAATGTCTCATCTTTTTATAACAAAACTAAGATGTTGACAGGGTAGCTATTTTGGTTTGAACTGTAAGGAGACTAGTGAGTTTCGGAGAGGTTAGATACTATATCCAGTTTTTCTGAATCCAAATCGTTCTCGGTGATCTCACCATAGTGAATAAAAACTACCCTGGATAAAAGAACTACTGAAACTCAACAATAAGAAAACAGGCTAATCAAGAAATGGACAGAAGATTTGAGCTGACACTTTGAAGACAAAAGGATGGAAAACAAGCTCATGAAAAGACGCTTTAACTCACCGAGGAAATACAAATTAAAGCCTCAATGAGGTACCACTATCTGATCTATTAGAATGGCTAAAGTTTTTGAAAAAGAATGAAGTTCTGATAGTAGAAAGTTCACGGAAGGATGTGGAGGGACTGGAACACTCAAAACATTGCTGACAGGGATGCAAAACGACACAGCCACCTGGGGGAAACAGTTTGGCAATTTCTCATGAAGCTAAACATGCACTTACTGTGAGTCTCGGCAACCTCACTCCTAGATGATTCTCACCTAAGAGAAATGAAAAGTTATGGTCACACACACAAAAGAAACCTGTATGCGAATATTTACAGGAGCTTTATTCAGATTGCTCAGTGTCCCTGGGCTGGAGCACACAGTGGAGCGCCACTTGGCAGTGGAAAAGGATAAACTGGCGATGCATTCTGCAACACGGATGAATCCTAAATGTACTATGCTCAGGGAAAAGGCAGACTCAGGCTACATACTGTATGATTCCATTATATTCCAGACTGTCTGGAAAAGGCAAAACTGCCAGGATGGAGGACAGACAGATGAGTGGTTGCCAAGGCTTAAGTCCAGGAGTAGGGTTGATCACACCTTTTTTGTGGAGGGAGTGGTGGAATATTCTGTATTTTGATCGAAATGATGGTTACATGACTCTGCATTTTGTCAAAACTCAGCTCTGCACACCAAAAAGAGTGAACTCTATGGAAATTTAGAATAAATTTAGGAAAATAATAGCCTGAATAGATGACATCAAACTCATGACAAACTCATGAGGAGGAAGGAGGGAAATGGGGCGAGGATGGAAGTTAAAGGGGATTTTAGCCTCATCATTTATGTTGTCTTAAAAAGTAAAGATAAAAGAATGTTGTTAATTGTACATGGTGAGCTACCAGTGTTTGCTTTATAACTGTAATTCTTTGTGTTTTTTAACTGGTCAAAATATAAACAAGGCAAAATATGTCCTAAAAGAAAATTCTGAAAAGACAAAAGTAGAAGGGAAAAAAATTCACCGGTTGTCTTGAAAATGTGGGTGCATTTTCTTCTATTTCTGTTTGTTTGGCTTTGCATTAGTAGACGGCATACTGTAAAAATAATATAGCCTGGGGCTTTTCTGTTACTTAGAATACCCTCAATGTGTTTTCCTTCTTAAATGGTATCTGTAAACATCTGCAGTGATGTACTATCAATTTTAAGGCCTGTGAGTATCTCAACAACTGCTCTCATTTTAGGAATGTAGACATTTCTGTAATATTAAACTGGTATGTTTCACCTCAGTATCCTGGGAGTACAAGTGAGGGTACGTTTGCATGAATCCTGAGAATTATGATGGCTCTGAGCCCTTTACTTGTGGATTTGATTGAGAAGAGCTGCCCAGGAGTGTAGCCAAAACCAAAACCAAGCCTATCTGCTCCCTTCTTGCTATTTCCATTAAATGTTAGGGCTGCAGTGCTGGTCTGTAGGCATAAATATTTGTCCCTTCTTGGCCTGGGCCACCAGGTGAGTTTTCATCCAGGCTGGATATTTGTATGATGGGAGATGGGAAGGGAAGACTCTTAGTCTTTATTCAAAGTTCATCTCAGATGTTAACCCCTCCTGGGATGATTCACCTGATTCTTTTCAGATCAGTTAGTCACCTTCCACCTGCTCTTTTATAACCAGTAATAAAACATGTCCTACATCAACTATACTTTAAACAAACAAACAAACAAATCCCATGTTTTCCCAGTACCCATTTTGTGGGTAGAGACAGTGTATTTAACTCGTCTTTATAAATAGTAACTGCTATCTGCAGTGTTGCTGTGTGCCGGCACTAAACACTTTCCCACTTAATACATACTTCTGTGACATAGGTACTTACTAAAAATGCCAGTTTCAAAGATGAGCGATTAAAGGCTCAGAATTTAAAGAGTTTGGCCCAGCATCACATATCTGAAGCTAAACCTGGAATGAGATCTCAGGTGGGTGTGTATCTCAGAGGGCACACAGACTGCGTTGTGAAAGTTATTCCCTTTTTGGTTTCCTTTACTCTTTCTGATTATGTCCAGGAGAAAGCTGGTTTGACGACCATCGTTTAGTATGTAACATCTAACACTTGGCTGGCTCTTTTGAACCAGGAGAGCGAATGCAGGCTCAGAGCCGTCACAGACAATAGATAAAATTTAGTGAACTGTTGTTTTCTTTCTTAGTTCTACTGTAGTCTTCTACAGCAAATGATAAAGAATCTCCATTGATGGCAGTGATATAAAATTTCTTCTCTAATTTCTTGCATATGCATCGAATAATTTTGAAAGGCAGTACAAAAACCCGGTGACACTTGTTGCCTCCAGGGACTTTCTAGGCGGCAGGGGGAACTAGGATAAGAGGGAAATTTTTACCTTATTCTACCTTTCTCTACAAAATTCGGATTTTGTGACCCAAAATGGAGACCAGAAAAGTTGATCAGTGAGAAAATTATTAAATCAATAATAGCGCAG